TTCACATTTTATATTTTATTTTTCTTCATGAAAATAAAAGAATAAAAACATTTCTTTTACAATTAAATTACTTTTTTTTAAATACTTAGATAATTTATTTTAATTATTATTATATTATATCATTTATTTTTCTTACAAATTAAAATCAATTTAGAATTTAGGGCTTTTATTTAATTGTTTTTATTTACTAACTTAATTAAATCCACAAAACCCTAAAAAACTTGTTTTCTTTAAATTAATTTAGTTTACTAACTTAATATTATTTTGCTTTTTTAAAGTTAATTATATTATTTTAATTAATTAAGTCAAAAAACTCTTCTCATGAAAAACCAAACAAAAATTACATTTTTCTTTTTTACATTTGCATTCTTGCATTTTATTTATTTATTTTGTACATTTATTCAAAATTCAATATGGTTGTAATATTATTTAGATTTAAATTCTTGCAATGTTACCCATTTGTAATTTGTACACCTCCTCCCTTAAGAATTGTAATAGCGTAGTAATTTTAATTTCCGCAATTTATCGCTTTATATACAAATGTTAGTAATTAGGATTTTATATGGGAAGACTAAAACCAATCAATAGGAAACCCTAATCAAAGACAAATCAAGCATGAAAGTCAATACACTTGCACACAAACACCCCTAGGGTAAATCCGCTTGGTTACCTTACAAAAATGGCCATATTATACATGTGAGGTATCTTAGCAAAAACAAGCAAAATACAAGATCATAGTCCCTCGATGACGCTATCCATGTTGCCTTTCAAAATGATCTTAGTCCCTAAAGAAAAATGCTAAGATATCTTGCAACATTGCTAATCATGGTTATACGATGACCCACGTCCATCCCTTTTACATCCAAAGATAAGGTTACTTACCAAATCAATGGTAAGATAACAATGCCAAAGGAAATAGGAAATAAACATGAAAGATTTTTGAGTAGGTGGAATGTTCCTAGTTACTTGCACAATTTCAAGACAAAAACATCCTTGCTATTTTCCAAAACAAACACCAACACTTTTAAAACATCTTTCAAAACTTGAAAACATTTTTAAAAGATCAAACACTTTGTATACATTCTTACGAACGAGAATCATTACAAAATTTGCCTAAACAATGACATCTTTACAAAATACTTTCAAAAACCACACAAAGCACAATTTCAAACAAAAGCAAGTGATCTAGCAAGTAACTAAGAGCCCATGGAAAACCATGGATGAAAAGGGTGCTAATACCTTCCCTTTTCATAATCTACCCTCCGAACTCAAGATATAATCTCAAAGGTCTTTCCTGTGCTTTTTCACCTTTCCTTTTAGATAAAAGAAAAGTCAGTAGCGACTCTTGCTAACCGCAACATTTGCAATCAAACGCAAAACAACCAAGTCAGTTATCCCACCGTATCACACTCATGAACAAAGAATGGCTGAAAGAGCCGCAGACAAGTCAAAGAGTGATGTGGCTCTACAAGCGCAATAAATAAGAGAAAAGAAAGGTAAAATAAAGTGATTCAACAACAAAGGTAGGAGAGGCTACAACAATTTGAATGGCCAAGGAAACCATCAGGAAGGAAATGCATCGAACCAGAGAAGACCATCATACCAAAGCAACCAAAGAGGTGGTGGTTGAAAACCTGACAAAAGTCACATTCAGTGTTTCAATTGTCAAAACTATGGTCAATAATCTAGTGATTACCCAAAAATAGAAGAATCGAGAAAGTGATGCAAAGTTTATAAAACATGAAGAAGAATAGATGATGTTGATGGTCACAACAAGAGATTAAGAGAGATTCAAGGACCAATGTACTTGGACTCAAGATGCTCATCACACATAACTAGAAGGAAATATTGGTTTTCCAACATAAAACCCTCGATGAAGAACATGGAGAAATTTACGAATGACAATACTCTAGCAGTTGGAGGTATTGGTGATGTTCTGATTATGAAGAAAGATGACTAAAGGTCAGTGATTTCCAATGTATTATATATATCAGGCATGAAAAGTAATATGCTAAGTATCAGGCAGTTGGTTGAAAAGAACTACAAGATGTCGATTAAAGACAAGATAATGAGAGTTGTCGACTCAAGTGAAAGATTAATATTGAAGGCTCCTATGTCTCTGAATAGAACCTTCAACATTAAACTTAATATAATGGAGCATAAGTGCCCTACGACTGCAGCTAAAAGGGATGAATAAATATGACACTGGCGACTTAGCCATCTTAACTTCAAAGACATCAGATATTTGAAAAAAATAAATATGCTTTCAGGATTACAAAAAATGACATTCTAAGTGAAGTGTATGAAAAATGTGTACATGAAAAGCAACATAAGAATAGCTCCAGTAAGGATGCAGAAAGCAAGTCAGAGGCAATTCCTGAGATCATATACTCTGATGTATGTGGTCCTATCCAGGTGGATTCGATTGGAGGCAATAGATACTTTGTTACATTTATAGATGATTTCAATTGAAAACCATGGACTTACCAGATCAAGAAGAAAAGCGAAGTGACCGAGGTATTTTCCAAGTTTAAATTTGTGGTCGAAAGACAAAATGGTTGGAAGCTCAAGATTCTGAGGGCTGATGGTGGTGGAGAATATGTGTCGAAATACTTTGACATGTTATGTGATAAAAAAGGGATTGTGCATGAGGTGATGCCACCCTACACTCCACAACAAAATGGAACTGTTGAAAGGAATAATATAACCATCATGAATATGGTGAGAATTATGTTGAAAGACAAACATTTACCTAAAGAATTTTGGGGTGAAGTTGTATCGACTACAACATACATTTTGAACAGATGTCTGATGAAGAAGCTAGACGGAATCACGCTAGAAAAACGTTGGTGTGGTGTCAAACCTAGCTTGAGTTATTTGAAAGTATTTAGACCTATAACACATAAACATGTGCCAGATAAATTGTGAAGAAAACTTGATGACAAGTATATTGAAATGATCCAAAAAGGATATCATTTGACTGGAGGGTATAAGTTGTCCGACCTAGTGAACAAGCATGTTATGATCAACTAGGACGTGATCATAAACGAGCTTAAGGAATGAGAATGGACTGAAAATGTCAAGAAAGATTCAGTGAGAATCTTACATGAAGAACCAACAAGTGAAGTAAAAAAGGAAGATCGACAAGAAGAAGTTATAGGTCAAGCATGCCCAAACAGACCTTAAAGAACAAGATGCATGCCAACAAGGTTGCAGGAATGTGTGATTACAGCAGATGATGAAATCGATAATGAATATGAGCTGATACACTATGCTTTCTATGCAAATGTAGAACCGGTCAATACAAATGAGGCACTAAAGGATTCGAAGTGGATGAAAACTATGGATGACGAACTAAATTCCATCGAAGTCAACAACACTTGGTCACTTATCGAACTGCCTTAAGGAATGAAGGAAATTAATGTCAAGAGAGTATATAAGGTGAAGTTGAATCCAAAAGGAGAAGTAACTCGATACAAGGCAATACTTGTGGCGAAATAATTTCTTCATAAAGAAGGAATCCACTTCGACGAAGTTTTTGCACACGTTGCTAGGACCAAAACAATTAGGTTGGTTGTTGGTCTAACAAACATGAACAACTGACATATATGTCAAATAGATGTGAAATGTGCATTTCTGAATGACCAATTAGATGAAGAAGTTTATATTGCACAACCAGTTGAGTTTATGAAATATGGCGAAGAAAGAAAGGTGTACAAGTCGCATAAAACCTTGTACAGACTCAAACAATAGTGAATGTACATAACTGAGCATGAAGTTTATGTAAGAAAAAGCAATAGTGAATTGCTTATACCATGTCTCTATATCAATGACTTATTGATAACAAGTAGCTGTAAGAAAGAGATATAAGACTTCAAAGGTGATCTTAGCAAGGAGTTTGAAATGTCTGATATGAGAAACATTTCATACTTACTTGGCATCGAATTCTACAAGAGTAGTAGAGGATTGATGATGTATTAAAAAAGATATACAAGTGAAATACTCAAGAGATTTGAGATGGAAGAATGCAACTCGACTTCGACATCTGCTGAACCAAGACTACAACTGTCGAAAGACTCAGATGAAGATGATGTCGACCTAATACAGTAAGAAAAACTTATTGGGTCCTTAAGGTTCATTTGTCACACAAAGTCTGACTTAGTATACAATGTAGGTATGATGAGTAGATTCATGCAAAAGCCAAAAGTATCACACCTAGCAACAACGAAGAGGATACTATGGTATCTCAAAGGAACTATCTACTATGACATTTTGTTTTCTGCAGCCGCTGAAGAAAAAAATGCAAGTTAGTAGATTACACTGATTCAAGTTGGTGTAGTGATGCTAAGGATAGAAAATCCACAAATAGTTATTATGTTTATGCAAAGTGCTGTAATTCCAACAAATTTAAAAAAATAGAATGGAATTTAAATTTTTTATAAGATACAAAACTTATTTACTACATCCTTGAGACATAAAAACAATTTTTTTTTAAAATTTATTAAATAATTGATGTATCTGACATAAAAATAATGACTAAACACACCATTTATTCAATAAAATTATTATTATTTTTATTATCTATAAATGTGTTCGAAATGTAACTCTTAAATAGTTAAATACATACATAAGTTTATTTATAAAATAAATAATATTAAAATAATAAAAAAATAATAATTGGAATCAGGAAGAGCGGAACTGAAAGCGAATTATGAACTGAAACTGAATTGAATCATCGTCGAAACGAAACCCTTCACACTTTCCTCACCGAGTCCGACTCCGAGTTCAAATCCGAGTTGACTCATCCACCTTTCTCTTCTCTCCAACCCCACAACACAAACACTCTTCTTTCTTCTTCCCAACAAATCAACTCAAAATTTTGTTGATTTCTTCACCTCCTCCTCCTCCTTCTTCTTCTACATTCGAGGTTGTAAATTGTTCTTGGTGCACCTTTCCACACCCAGTTCCAATCTCGTCGATCTGGTTCTCTGAAACTGGCTATGGATTACGAACCCTACGACAGTAGTGGTTAGTTCTGCTTCATTTTTGTTCTATTTCGCAATTTCCCCCTTTTTTTAGGGTTAGGGTTTCTATTTTTTCTCTTTCTATGTTTTAATTTTAATGGGTAATTATGAGACTGTATATCCATTTGAATCAGTTGTTAGAACTAAGAGCATGCATGATGTAGTTTAGATGTTGATGATACATGTTTTTGGCTTGTTATTAGTTCTTCTGCAATATAGTTGATTTTATTTTATTTTTATAATTTTTTTTTCATAATTTTTTTTTATAATTTTTTTTTATATATTTATAAATAAATTGTCTAACTTTTGGTTCTTGTTGTTACTTCATTCATTCCTGTATACTTGTATTTTTAAGGTTGTTTTGTAAAAATTAAGAAATATTAAGTAGTTTTGATCTCTGTAGCATTGACACCTCTGAAAAAAGGTGTGTCACTGTAGGTGTTTGAAACTGATATCCACATTTGTGATTACGGTTAATTTATTTGTTTTTTTTTTTTTAAATTATTATTGGTGTCGTGTTTCTGGGGTATGTGTTTTATAGGTTTTGATTAATAAGCAACTTTTAAATGTATGTTTACCTTTTATTGCTTCCTTAACTCATTTGTTTTCTCTCTTCTTTAATCTTAGTTTAAAATAACTCATTAGGTAAATGTATAATTGCCAAAACATAGTTAGTGTAACTTTGAAATTGGAAAACGAAGGGTAGATAACTTAAAATTCATCAATTGAAGGGAAGGGTAGTATTGTTTGTGAGGGCCTTACAATTAGGGGTGGGAAGGGTAGGTGATTAGCAATGGATTTTTATGGAAACCCGTCCTTCCGAGTGTAGTTAAGATCGAGTGCTGGATTGTAAAATTGTAAGATCATACATGCCAAGAATGCCTAAGAGTGCTACAATCAGAGAAAGTTTGTTTTCGTCGCCGGTGTGGTCAAGATCAAGCTTTTTCAAGTAGGATTGTAAGTAAAAATGTACTGGGCCTTTTTTTTTTGGCCCTGAATTATAATTTTTATGTTTTTGTGTATGTGTGTATAAATATATATGAAATTACATCTTTTCCCTTCGGTAGGATCTTACGTGCCGTACTAACTATCCGAGTTTTACGATCTTTCACAAGCCGACCGAACCTACTTAATATCTTGTGCTTGACTTCATTGATCCTTCCAAAGTAACCTTTACAGTGAGGTTCAATTTGGATTAGTTTATTTCTTATGAGAGCTAGTAAACTAATTATTATTTAATATAAGTTTATGTTTCTTCACTTACAAAGAAAGTCTTTATATGCCCTTATAGATGATTATAGAGGGATTAAATGAAAGAGCATATGGAAAAATGGAGATGTAGAATCTAATTTTATGTTTCTTCTCTTGCGGAAAAGTCTTTATGGGGTTATAGATGTTTATGGAGAATTAAGATGAGACAAATCTTGGAAAATTCAGGGGCATGCACTAGTTTCAATTTATACTAGAAGTTATTATTATTTAAAAACTTAGTTATTACAAGATTCTTTTGATACTTTTCTTCCTCATAAGTGCGAATTTTATCTGTATTGAGTGTAAATCTTTATGTACTGCAGTACTGACTAACTTTTGATTTCAGTTCATAATTATAATGATCACTATGAACATTGTTTTTCATCGGTCTAATACTTGATTGCTTGCTTTGTAACTATTTGCATGTGGTGATGTGAGAAGTTGGTATTTCAAATACCATTTCCATACCAAACAAATTGATACCCAGTTTGTTTTTCCATGAGTTGGCTGTGCTGTTACGCCTCTGTAGAGATAATGATACCTCTCCTTTTGCCTAGAATTATTGGTCCCAATTTTATACGTTTTAAAGTTATGAGATTAATTGTTTACCGGTTTTGAAAAATATATCTCTGATATCTTCACTTATTATCCCTTGATTTGATTGTAATAATTGCAGGAACTGATGATGATCTTCCGCCAACCCATCAAAATAGAATTCCCAGGGGAGGACGTCTTGCCGGGAATGGAAGATCTGCCGTTGGTTCAATTCCATACCCCAGGGTGTATGGTGAAATTGATATGGAAACCCAAATTCATCAACTTGAGCAGGAAGCATACAGTTCAGTTCTGAGAGCCTTTAAAGCTCAAGCTGATGCCATTACTTGGGTATATTTTATTTCTTCAAACCTAATTGTTTTTAATGTCTGTGATCAGGTTTAAATGACTGCTGCATGATGTGTATTTTCTTTAGGAGAAAGAAAGTTTGATTACAGAGCTTAGAAAAGAGCTGAGATTATCGAATGAGGAGCACAGAGAACTCTTAGGTCGGGTTAATGCGGATGAAACAATACGGAGGATAAGGTCTGATAAAATTATGAAATAAGGTTTCTTGTTGGTCTATCTATGCTTTAGAAATAAGATTGTCTTGTGTTTCCACGTGGTGCTATTTTTTTTGAAACAGTGCTGATATTTTGCTAATCAATACTTTGTTGGATAATGACAAAGGGAATGGAGACAGACAGGTGGGCATCAGTCTGGCGTAATGAATACTGGCCAAGCTCTACATGATTCAATTCCCAGTCCGTCGGTTTCTGCATCTCGCAAAAAGCAGAAGATTACACCACCTGTACCACCACGTTCTTTTGGCGGGCCTTCTCCCCCATTTCACCCCCAAACAGTGACTGCATCTCATCAGCCATCTTCTTCTGCAGCAAAACGAGGATCTGTTCCTGGATCTAAGGGAAAGAAGCAAAAATCTGTGAGTAGTGAACATATGTAGTCTAGACCTGTCATTTTTTATTTTTTGTATTTGTTCAGCTAGCTTTGGTTTGGTAACATTAACATGTATATATTTTTCATTTACAGGGTCCGATATTACCTGGTGTATCTTCAAAGCAGTTTCCTCCTTCGGGACCAGGTGGAAGGAATCAAGTACAAAATCAAGTACCTAATAGAGCTGTCATGGGTGAACATGCCGAGGGTGGATCAATTGGTCCTATGATCGGTAGGAGAGTGAGGACTAGATGGCCTGACGACAATAACTTCTATGAAGCTGTTATCTCTGACTACAATCCAATTGATGTATTTACCACCCTGGAATATTTGGTAATTTGTTTTCCCCTAATATTTAGCTGAAATTTGTACTCATATTTCTAACTTTTCAGGGCCGGCATAATCTGGTCTATGACATGGGGAGTACAGATGAAACATGGGAATGGGTTAAACTATCAGAGGTACATCTGAGGCATTAACCTGTTTCTTGTATGAAATCCTTGCATTGTTTTCTTTTAACTCATGGAGTTTGCAATCATAACTAATTCAAAGTTATATTTGGTATCAAATGGTATTCAACAATACAAAAATAGTCCCTAATGATAGTTGGGTTTTTGCATAAGTTAAACTACAACAAAGTCACTTATAAGGTTATTATCTAGATTTAGAATATAGTTATAATGTTACTACAGTTTGTTATTTAATATGTTTGACAGACTCGAGTATCAAAGTTTTATCACTTTGGGCATGTACTAAGTATTATAATTATAATTGGGAAAAAGGGTGGTGGGGGGTCAATTTTATTTAATTATTTTGCCAAATATCTCAATTTCGCCACTGTTATAAATTAAATACGAGAGCCTACTAAAGTTAGCATTTATGAGTAGTTGATACGTCAGACACGCCATATCTAAAGTATAAATTTATGATCTAGAAGTATCCGTTTTTACAGAATAGTTTGTGACTCCCAAAAGGGCTATAGCATTACCAATGATAATGGTACATAAAACCTAGCCCATCTTTGCCAGTAAGACTTAAACAACCAAGGGAAGTAGTTGCTTTAGGTTTTGAAGCAAAGGCTTGACCTTGCAAAATACAGGCTGTTATGCTAGTTCAAAACCAGAGTCATCAATAGTGATTGATTATGCTGTGGTCACTTCAGTGTGTGGCGATGGTATTTGTTTCAGAAAGTTTATTATGTTGTTTTTGAGTAGCACTAAGTATTAGGTTTTTATATTGAGTTTAAACTCATCATTACTAAACCGACTTATATAGTGAAGGGTGCTGCTCTTTTAGACTCTTTTAGGACCATATCTCTTTTTCAGTGTTGGACTTGGTTTTTTCCCGATACCCTATCACGCCCAACTCTATTGGGTTTAGTTCATGGATAATATGGTGGCTGACCCAAAATGATTGGCTCCATTACCAGGATTAATATATTGGGCCCAACTTGTTCTTACAAAGCCAACTTACAATTCCATTTCATTTTTGTTTGTTTCTTCCCTTTCCACTAATCCAAACACACCATAGGATAAAGACCTAAAATGCCCAGTTTAGGGCTGTCAGGTGCATTTTAGCCTCTAGTGAAGTTAATTTAGTGATTTCTTTTCATAGAGAGGGAAGCCTAGTTCTAAAAGGTTTCATCAACTCCAAACTGTGAATTTTTGAAATTCCTTACTTTCACAAATATTTTCACCTGCCTTACACACGCTATCCTATGCTGTGGTGGCTATCATACTGAAATAGCATGTGACAGCCATTCAGCTGTTGAGGAGTTCTACTCCGCCTTGCTCCAGAGCTATATCAGCCACTTTTGATAATTCTTTGGAAGTTCCTGTGTGTTTGACTAAACTGAAAATTCCAGTGCCTATTCAGGGCTGAAATCTACCGTGAAGATAAATTAAGTACTAAATCTTTAGTCTTACAACAATTTCCTTTAGTGACATAACCATGATTTGGTTGATACTGAATGCTGATAGTAGCCTCAAGTGCCAAGTATTTTAAGCTTTTACTCGACTTTACACATGTGAATTACGGACTGCACTAATTTAACTTTAATCTACACATTTTAATATTAAGTGCTGAATTAAGCAGACAAACTTATTTTTCTCTCACTACATTAATGAAGAAATCAGTATTCGTGTATAATCTGTATTCAACTTAACGTGTATGGTCATTGAAATTGTATGAAAAGAATCATAGTGAAATTTGGTAAAAACATCAATCTAGTTACTGAAATGTGGTTCTTTGATTTTGTTAAGATGGAAGAAATGCTCTTTTCTTGTATCATGAGTGTTTCATAATATCTAGAAAATGTTTAGAAATGATTCTGTCGCTGTTGATATATTCAGCACATGTTAATATTATATTGTTTTTGCTAATTCAGATGCAGTATTTTAACTGCAGATATCACCTGAAGATATTCAGTGGGTACCGGAGGATCCTGGAATTAATCATCGTGGGGGTTTTGCGGGCTCTGGTCATGGGATGAATAGGTCCGTTGGACGTGATAGTGTTCCAGGAGTTGGAAGAGGTAGAGGGGTCCCGAAAGGTCAATCTAGAAAAGATTTTTTGCCATCACAGAATGGCGTAGGAAAGAAAGCACCTGATGATATTCAGATTCTTCACACAGACACCTTAATACAGGAGGTGGCTGAAAACAAACTTTGATTAAATTATAATTTCTTTGGGATGTTTTGATCTTATATTTCGCATATTTAAGTTTCTGTTGAATTTGACAGGTGGAGAGGGTATTTAGTGCAAATCATCCCGATCCTCTTGAAATTGAGAAAGCAAAGAAAGTATTGAGGGTAATGGCTTAGGGCACGGTTATTTCTATTTCTTCTATACTAAAAGATATCGGCTAATTGCTTTTCTTGCAAAAAATGGTGCATATATACCTGATCTATGTGTATAATTTGATGCAGGAGCATGAGCAGTCTCTTGTTGATGCGCTTGCAAGACTTGCCGAGCTTTCTGATGGTGAAAGTGGTATTTTTCGGTTTTCATAACTTGGCAATATTCATGAGCTTTGTCTTGTACTAGTTAGTTAGTCTTCTTAGTTACATTATTTACTATTGGTACCGGTAAAGTGTGGAATAGTCAACCTCAAAAACCGCTACAGTGGTATACGTATTGCCGAGTGGTTGCTCCACCACCAAAGATAGTGGCAAGAATGAAATACTTAAAATTTTTTGCAAAACATACTAAATTTTTTTTTTAAACCATAAACATAATGTGGCCAAAACAGAGATAATTTCAGCTGGACCAGCCGCCACAGTGATGATGCAGTAACAACCCTGAAATACCCTTCACTTACGGCTGCCTATTATAGACTTTTGGTTTTTGTATCCCTAGAAAGATCAAGACTGATTGGCTTGATTGAACCCTTTTCATCCATATTTTTTATTTTTTTTTACTTTTTGAGTGCATGTGTGACAAAACATAGCACACACCACTTCTATGCTTATGAAAAAGCCAGCAGCCACCTCCTCCAACCTCTGAATGAGGCACGGCGCTCAGTTGCAACTCTGTTTCTGGGGACTTCAACTCTGGAGCCTCGGTTCTTTTCAAGTTTTAGTACCTGTGCTCTGTTTCTGCGCCAATTGTCTGTTGATGTTCGTTCTGCCTTTGCTATGGCGTCTTCTCAATCTCAACCACAATCAACACCTCAATATTTGACCTTTGTTTGTTATCTGTCCTGTGACCTATTTTGAAATAGATATGTTATCTCTATTCTTCTATTCCTCAGCTCTTATATGTACACAGTAAAAGTAAAAATAAAAATAAATTGCTTGTATGGTATCTAAACTTCGGTGTAGCAGCCATACCATTACTTCATAATAGTGTTTTGGGGATGGCTGACTATATATAGGTTAGTTGACTGTTAGAGATGTTGATATGTATAGGAACTAACTTGTTAACATTTGTATATTGGCCTTAGTCTCTGCAGATGAAAATTCAAACGACAGTGAAAGTGATCTGCATTTTTAAGGCGTTTTCCCCTCACATTGTTATACAAGTGGATTGTTTCAAACTAGCATCTAACTAACTATTGTGATTTAGGAGTGAGTGACAGTTGTAGTTGTAGTTGGATCGTAAATCAGCTGCACTTCACCTTCCGTTGTTCCTTGTTTTTGCGAGCAATCACTACTTTAGTTCTTGAAATTGTAGGGGTTGACTTTAGTTCAAGGGAATTCCAAAATGGTTCTTGAATTTGAAAATAATCGATCACTAGTTCATGTAGGAGAATTCAATGGACTTCATTGATCACTAGTCCATGCAGGAGAATTCAAGGGACTAACTACACTGATCGATCCAAATAAATTTGTTTTTGAGAATTTTAATTTGACCGTGATTGGAATAGCCATGATGCAGCTCTGATTGTAATTACCACACTGCGTGCTTTTCAATACAAACAGAATCATTACCGAACAAAGTTATTGTTGACTAACGTAAACTATGGTTTATTTTATTGTTGATACAGACGGGGCGGGTCACCATTTCCCACAGCGTCGATCAATGGATCGAGAATGATGGGAGAACATGTTACTTTGTACAATGAGTGGATGAGGCATTATGATAGCATAATTCTGGATGAATGGTGTATCATTCATGTATTTTATGACGAAGACTCAATTTCACTGTTTAGTGGTTTATAGCTCTAGCCATGTTCTTGTCGATTTAGGTATTATGTAGGACGGCAATTGTAGTTTGGTAATAATATTTATTATCGAGTTTAAAATTTGACTTAGGAACAACTGATACTTGTTTAGTACTCCACATTTGTGATTAATGTGTGCTAGTGTATAAAATTCTTGTATTTTATGTGTCATAATTGGGCAAAGTACTATAAGATAGCTCACCAAATTTTGGTCATTTAATGAATCGAGACAAGAAAGTCGCGTTTAGAAAATCTGAATAATCAATATTCTGAAGTCAAAATCTATCGAACACTAATGAAGTGACCAAATAATGTATTTAATACCTTTGTTCAATTATTATGTTGTAACTATCGAATCATTCATAAATTCATTGTAAGGTCTCTGTCAAGATGGACCTGGATTTATTGCTGAAGTGTTTTCATGCGGTTTTGCATTGTAAACTGAACTGTTTTCAATTGCATTATTATTAATTGCTCATTTAGTTTTTTGCTCTTATTTTCTTATACACCCAAGTCACCTTAACCCCCAAGTATTCTACTTCATTTAGTTTTCTTAACCTCACTGGCATCTTGTAAGCAAGAAAAACCATTACATCTACAAAGCACTAAAGAATTTGAGTAGAAAAGGTTTAATAACAGTGATGCTCTGGCATATTGGGAAAATATTCGATCTTGAAATGTTAATGTTGAGAGAGCTTTTCAGTGGTGTGATTTGAATGAGCAGCCTGAAATTAAAGCGAACTTAAAAGAAAGAGAATGCCAATATTTTAGTGAAGTTCTTTCAAATCTGATGCTCCTTCAATGGGACTAGAAGTTTATGTGAACGAGCAGGAATCTACAAATATGGGTTAAATATACGATACTTTATGTGGTATGGGCGAATTTCGATTTAATTCCCAATAATTTTTTTTTTGAATTCTCCCGTTGTAATATTCAGATTCCGAAGATGTTTACTTGTCCATTTTTGGTGGTGTTTTTGTCAAATCAAATCAGGTATGCAAGCTACAAAAGAGTTTGTATAGTTTGAAACAAGCAAGTAGAAAATGGTATGAAAAATCTGACTTCTCATACAAAAAGAATATCATTAATCTATCTCTGATTACTTTTGTTCACTCTCTCAAACATGGAGGTAATTTTACTGCTCTCCTAGTTTATGTTGATGATATCATCATAGCTGGGATTTCTCTTGTGAAATTCACTAGAATCAAAGCTAATTTAGATCACCACTTTAAAAATAAAGGTCCTTGGCATCCTAAAATACTTTCTAGGATTAGAGGTAACTCATTCTAAATCAAAGCTAATTTAGATCACCACTTTAAAAATAAAGGACCTTGGCATCCTAAAATATTTTCTAGGATTAGAGGTAGCTCATTTTAAATCAGACATTTGCATCCCTCAAAGAAAATATTACTTGGATCTTTTTTATTCATTTGGGCTCCTTGGATCAAAATCGGCTACTACTGCACTTGATCATTCCTTAAAACTTCACCAGGATATCAATTAACCTTTTCAAGATGTCTCAACATATAGAAGACTATTTGAAAATCTTTTATACCTTAACACCATCAGACCTGACATCACTCTAGTCTTTAGCCACTCAACAACTTAGTCAATTGCTAAACTCTCCTACCATTACTCACTTTAAAGTTGCATGTAAGGTGATACGATATTTGAAAAAAATCTTGATTGAGGCATCATATTTCCTAGAAGTTATGATACTCAAATCAGAATATGCAGATGTAGATTGTGCAAGATGTTCTAATTCAAGAAAATCAATCACTAGTTTTCTTTTCTTTCTAGGAAATTCATTTGTGTCATGGAGAGCGAAGAAGCAAGCAACTATTTCAAGGTCATCTTCAGAAGTTGAGTATCGAGCTCTATTAATTGCCACCGTAAACTACAATGATTTTTGTATCGCTGGAAGGATTTAAACATTACATGTGACAAACAACCTGTACTATACTATGATTCTCAAAGTGTCATCCACTTCACTTTAAATCCTATTTTTTATGAGAGAACAAAGCACTTAGAAATCGATTTCCATTTTGTAAGAGAAAAAGTCCAAAAGAATATTTTTAAGTTGTTATCAATATCCATTCAAGAACAACTTACAGATTTTCGGACAAAGACATTGACTACATTAAAATTCAACACATTTGTATTCAAATTTGAAATGATAGATTATATCATGGTCAAGCTTGTGGGAGGGTTTTAAATGAGAATATGCAAGATGATTCAAGTCTCACAAAATCAAAGGAGATGAAAATCACATGATGTATATGATGGGAACGAGATATCTTGCTCCATAAGTCATACTCCTTCCGTCTCAAAATAAATATCGTATTTATTTATTTTTTTGTTTCAAAATACTTGTCACTTTAGATTACCAATGCAATTTTATATTTAATCTTCCAATTATATCCTCTAATAAATACTCTTAATTTATTATTTTCCCACTTAACATTAATGCTAATTTGAATACACAAATAATTAATCAGGATAATTGATAAAATCACTATTCTCTTTCTTTCATTTATTACTGTTTCTTAATCGGTGTAAAATAGTCAACTGCGACAAATAATATGGAAAACACGGAGTATAAGTTAGTTGTAAATGTCTTAATAGAATTTCAAATTCTGTTATGATTGATCCAGTGCTGGAATGCATACGATAGCCTTAAGTGCAATCATGAATATATAAACATTGTAACCTCATTATGCTAATCAAGTTGCACAAATATAGATTATTTTTGAAATAATATAGCAAGTGCGAGTAAGTGGAGAAATAGTCCCATATTGAATAAGAATGTGATGACTTAAGCATATATAAGTGGGAGAACCCACTCACTTATCACCTTAAGGTTTTAGGTGGATAAGTGGTGTGTCTCTCACAAAGGTGTTTATTTCTACACTATGTATCAATACTCCTAGTATCTCCCCACAATAATTACATCTTTTTCTTTTCTCTTTCTTTCAAGCTTTAACCATGAAGTTTCCATGCAGTTTTCAATCGTTCAACATAAATCATAAGATAAGCAAAAAAAAGGAAACAAAGTATTAATGTTCTACTTCACTTAGGTTTTTGACACTCAATTATTATATAAAGTAATAGATAAACTAACCGATAATGCGTGAGACAGTTTTAGTGAGGAAAAAGAATAAGGAAATAAAGATTGTATTATTGAATTGAGTTATTATAAACAATGATATAAACTATAATTATTTATATACGCCTAACTTATACACTAAGTAGGATAACAAATCTTAATTAGGATTAAGCTTAGGTTATACAACTTGAATTAGGTCTAATATCTCAACATACTCCCATAATCTAAGTTGTCGAACATACTCTAAAAATAATCAATCTGAACTATTCTCAATTTCTTTCTCAAATTCAGGAGTCTGTCGATCTTCAATCCTTTGGTGAAAATGTCGGCCAACTGTGCTTCACTTGAGCACTGCCTAACTTCAAATTTACCTCAATTTAAATTTTCTCTAAAGAAGTAAAGTCTAGCTTCAATATGCTTACTTCTTTCATACAGAACTGGATTCTTCTCCATATTTATGGCTGACTTGTTGTCCATTTAAAACACAAGAGGTTTCTTCACTTTGACCTCCATTTCTTCAAGTAATGGTCTGATATAGGTTGCTTGATATGCAACATAGAATCCTGCTATATATTTAGCTTCACACGATAATAATGCCACCACGTGTTATTTTTTCGAGCACCATGAGATTACGGCACCAAATACTTGAAAGCAATATCAAGTTGTGCTTTTTCGATCTTCCTTATCTCCACATCAATAACATCTGAAAAAAAGTAACCGTTGCTTCTTTGCTTTCAGAGTCTCGTCAAAACAGAATTCCATAGTTTATTGATCCTTTTAAGTATCTCAAAATTATTCTTTCAACCTTCATGCGTGACACCCTTGATTCACTCATGTATCTACTCACTAATCCGACTGCAAAACCTATATCAGGTCAACTGTTGCACACATACCTCATAGATCCAACTATTTGTTTAAAAAAAGTTACATCGATTTTGTCTTCATCTCCATACTTATGCAACTTCAAATTTGGTTCGATAGAAGAATATGCTGAGTCGAATCATCCATCATGAATCTCTTGAGTATCTCTTTGACATAATTCCTCTGATGTATCACCATACCTTGCTTCGACATTTGAAATTTCAGACATAGGAAATAAGACAATTTTTCCAGATCCGACATTTCAAATTATCTCATCATCAGCTCTATAAACTTTGATAAGTTCTCCAAGCTATTTCTAGTTACCAACAAGCCATCAACATATAAGCAGATGATTTTTATATTTTGTGCCATAATCTGAACATAGACACCATACTCAGACTTTCATTTTACAAATCCTAATTCGACTAAGTATGAGTCAATCTTCTTGTTCCATGCCCTAGGTGCCTGCTCGAGGCCGTAGACGCTTAGTGCAACTTATAGACTTCTGAATCACAAACTCAGGAGGTTGCGTGACATAGACCTCTTCATCTAAAGGATCATTCAGAAATGTTGATTTCACATCTAAATGAAATATCGACAACCTTGGTTGTATGCCAATACTACCATTAATCAAATAGTCTCTAATCTTGCTACTAGAGTAAGTACTTCAGAGTAGTCGAGTCCTACTGTTTAAAGAAATCCTCAAGCTACTAATCATGCTATCTGTTTCAACTTAAACACCTACTTTACTTCGATAACTTTTGTATGTGTTGGAAATTCGACTAACTCTCATGTGTTGTTTCTTTCGATTGCCTGTAACTCTTCGACCATAGAAAAATTCCACTGTTTAATCTTCAAAGTCTCAATATATAGTTAATTGGTTCAACACCTTCAAGTAAAGCAAAA